AATAACCGTGACACGCGCTGTACAAAAGTATCGATATACGAACGCATTGAAGAGACAAAGCTCAAACATACGAAGGGCATGCCCACAAACAACAAACGAAGACAAGTTTTGCGAGTATTTACTGAAGAATGACAACAAAAACCAAAACAACAAGACATAACGGCAGAGATAAACTAATACCAGAAAACACATGCCCACTCCTCAATCATGCAGCGATAAGTTAAAAATTCTGATAACTCCGCCACCACCAGCAGTCATGATACGTAGTGGATTGGATCCCAGTAACGTCATATCCAACACTTCATCACCGCCATTCCCAAGTACCTAGATGTCTCTTTTACAAAATTCACTCCGAATGGAACGCGAAGAAACCTTGTACAGCGACCCATCCCTTGCATCGAAAATTCTCACAAAGCCATCCACAGATCCAGCGCATAGAAACGGCGTATTTCCCTCCATAGACCACAGAACTCGTGTTATTGCCTATAACAACACAAAGATGGTTTAACTTCCATTCGCACCATGCGAGGGATCCTCACCTGCGCTGAAGGACCCCTGTAGACGCTCCGTGGTGCGCTCGAAACCGTCTCGTATACGCATAGTGTACCATCGTTTCTTCCAACGGCTAACCAAGAGTTGAATGGAGCAAACTGAGCACATTCCACGCAATTCTCGACGTGCTCCTCATCATTCTATACAAAGCTGATTATCACCAAAATTTCAATAGTATTCCATTAAGGAACACATCGAACAGCAACGTCATAGGTGCTGGGTACTCCAACCCTCCAAATTCATCCACTCATTATTGAAGGATTAAACTGACAGCAATAAATGGTCAATACCTCTTCGCTGTTGCTCGACTGGGAAAGCGGTGGAAAGACAACAGTTTCAGTCAGCTTATCGGCATGCGAGGTGTTTAGGACGTGCACGAAACCTGAGCAAAATTAAAATCTTTACTATGTAACGTTTTGAAGATAAGAGGTATCAACCATTCAGAGATATCCTTGAACCACATTTGCGACAAGACCTCACCTTGAACAATATCAAAAAGTGAAGCTATGTTTAATGATTTACATAAATGATTTTGCAGAAGATTGTATAAGTAAACGACGATTTCGGGGTAATGCTATCAACTTCTAGAATTTGACCAAAGTTCTGAACTTGAATTTCTTACTTCCTCCCGCTCTGAGAATATTTGTGATTGTGAGGATAAGCACTGAGAGGACAACTTTTCTAAAGTTGTTTATAATTTGTATTAAGAAGCCTTTCGTCGACAGAAAAAATCTAGGGCTCCATAGATAAGAAAAAAGTGCAAAAATGAGGACACTCCTCCATGTGTGACCTCTTCGGCTAGAAACCTCATGCCCCATTGCACGTATGCCTTTAACTCAAGATTAAAGGTGGAATTCAGAGTCGATTTCCAAATACTAAAGGATTACTAAGTTTAGTGAATAAACGTGGTCAGGGCTCGACACGAGGTTTCCGGTTGGACCTTACCTGGTGCAGCACCCTTTGCATGAAGCGCAATTAATTCAAACTTTAGGTATCAAATGATCTTTAATATTAGTGTATCTATCATTCCTTGCCCACCACACCCCCA